GATGCTCGTTTGAAGAGCTGGTACATGCACGATGGGCCGAAGGGCCTCATTTCGTCGTTCCAGCATGACAAAGACCAGTCTATTTCGTAGGGCAGTCGACTGAGGGATAAGTATTGACTGTGTCGCGCCGGATAAAGGACCAGGCCATTCAGACCATCTATGGTTCGGTTAGATCCACGGTGATTCGGTGTTGGGAAAAGAGCCTTGCAGTTCGCTTTTCTTTTCCCCGGTGTTTGTCCACATGCTGATGCTGTCCTCCACTGGTGACGGTGAGACTGTCATCTCTGAGTCAGAGGGGTCCCGCTCAAGAGAGGATACAACGAGAAATCAAGGCTTACATCCCAGTGCGGGTACCGAGGATGTGCTGTACTGTCAGAGGTATCAGGCTGCAGTTTGCAGTCCTCACTGTAAACAGATTGACTGCTAATGTTTCTTTCCTGAAATACTGCAAACATTGAATGTGCAGCTCTCAGGCACGTTCTCAGGTCGTGACAGGAGATATATAAATGCAGGATAGACTTTTCTTGTCTGGAGGGCCAGAGGAAGTTGCATTCAATTCTTTACATTACTTTTTTTTCTGTATTGTACCTGGAATATAGAATTTGGATTCAAATAGCAGTTTTCCTAGTTATACCATTCAGTTACTGACCATACTTGAAACAAAGAGGTCCTGGTGTAGACAATGATCAGTTCAGAATGACCTTCCAAAGTCTTCAACAGTGTAGCGATACCTCTAGTTCTAAGCTGCTGATTAGGGAAAGCGATCCAATAAGTTACTTATAAATAGAGGGGGAGCTGCTATCAACAGTTGAAAACATGCCCTTTTATCATTGAGCAAAGTAAGGTCACAGATGGTTTGTCAGATGGACATTTGATAACTAAAGGACCAGTGATCCAGAACTTTTTTTATGTCCAATATCCCCGGGAGTGAGTTACAGGCTGGAATCTAATCGACCGGTTCGGATGGTTTATATATAGAATAATGGATACCTGGGAGTGAGTTACAGGCTGGAATCTAATCAAGCAGTTCAGATGGTTTATATATAGAATAATGGATACTCGGGAGTGAGTTACAGCCTGGAATTTAATCGAGTGGTTCAAATGGTTTATATGTAAAATAATGGATACCTGGGAGTGAGTTACAGACAGGAATTTAATAAAGGGGCTCAGATGATTACCTGAATAATAAAAACAATTTATCTGATTGTGGCTGTGCAACTCAAAGAAATATCTGGAAAAGCTCAGTTCTGGGTCACTGGACCCGAACCATTAACTCTGATTTTCAGAGCTTTTCCAGCAACTTCTGTTTTTGTTCCTGATTTACAGCATTCGCAGTTCTTTCGGTTTTTATTTAGTATTTAACTCACTGCCGCATCTCTTCTAGGCATGTCCACCTTGAAGAAGTTCTGCTCCTCTCTCTGATGGGATTTCCGTTCCAATCTTTTTCTTCTTGTCCACTGACATTAAATTCACTGTCAGTCCTAGAGTTTGACCAAGTATTTGCTAAAAAAAAAAAATGAGTTCTGAGGAAGGGTCACCGGACCCGAAACGTTAACTCTGATTTTCTCCTCACAGATGCTGCCAGACCTGCTGAGCTTTTCCAGCAACTTCTGTTTTTGTTCCTGATTTACAGCATCCGCAGTTCTTTCCGTTTTCAAAGAAATATCTGCCCATCTAGCCTCACCCACCTGCTATTTTCCCAAATCTCTGCCAATTAGCGTGTTTCGACTATTGTTCCAAATTCCCTTTGCCTGTTATTGAACCTGCTTCTAGAACGCTGCGATGTGAGTGTACTGTACATCGTGACAAATCGTTGCATTAAATAGTTTCCCCTTTTATTGAGCTTAAATCCGTATCCACTAGTTACCAGTCCTTTTACCACTGGAAACAGTTTCTTGTTACTTCTGCTACGAAGAACGCTTTGTGCTTTTGCTTTTAAATCTCTCAGTATCTCTCTCTGCTCTAATCCCATTTTGCCACTCTCTCCACACAACTGGTGTTCTTCATCTCCGGTGCCATTTTGGCAGCTTTATTCAGTCATTCATGGTATCTCCACTTCACTGGCTGGGTGGGTTATTGTCTGTCACTAGTTGCCCTTGAGAAGGGGCTGGTGAACTGCCTTCCTGAACTGCTGCAGTGTGCTTGGTGCAGGGATACCCACATTGCTGTTTGGGATGGAGTTCATGATTTTGACCCAGTGACACTGAGAGAACAATTGATATATTCCCAGGTCAGGATGGTGTGTGGCCTTCTCACGTATTTGCCGCCATTGTCTTTGTAGATCGTGGCAGTTATCATCGGTTTAGAAGGTGCTGCCCAAGGAGCCTTAGTAAATTTTTGCAGCGCATCTTGTAGATGCTACACACTCCTGTTATTGCGTTTTGGTGATGGAGGGAGTGAATATTTGTGGATGTGCTACCAATCATGTAGGCTGTTTTATCCTGGATAGTGTTGATATTCTTGAGTGTTGTTGGAGCTGCATTCATCCAGGAGTGTCCAGAATTTTTCACACTGGGTGCCTAATCACTGATATATATAAGGTCAGAATGATTTCTTTTATTGTCGTATTTTAATGAATGAATTGTTTGTTGTCACATATGTCTTGGAAGATACAGTGAAAAAATATTCTGTCGCCACAATATGGCGCCGTTGAGGCAGAAAGGAGTAAAAAGTACTTAAATAGAGTTCATCTTCATTGGCTCCAGGACTTTTGCAAGGTCTACCCCCCAGGCCTACCAACTCTGTTTGTAAAGGCATAGGTTCCTTTTTTTTGCATCTGTCTACTAAACTTGTCCTTGCCCCCTAAAGGACTAATGTATCTACACACCTATTTATTGCCACAACCGAGGGTGCGTGTTTCACTTTCTATTCCCACTCCTCCATCGGCCAAAACAGTTTCGTTTTTAATGTCATGGACAGTTATATAGGTGTCAGACGATGTCAGCTTCAGTAGGAGAAGCAAGTCAGCCACATTTACTTAGTAAACAACAAATAACCAAAAGCAAAAGGTACAAATATTATTGGCTAACAGTTTATATTATGCAAATTAATATATCTACATTTTTAAGAAAAACTAACACACAGACACATGTTTAAGGAAAAACAAAAAAATACAAACTCTAGCCAGTATTGAAGTACTTAGGTGAAGTAATTGTGAAATGACAGCCTAACAGTATTGCTGCTGGACAGCTAATCCGGACATCCAGAGAATGTTCTGGAAACCTGGGTTCGAATCCCGCCACGTGGCATTGGAATTCATTGAAAATCTGGAATTAAGAGTCCAATGATGATGACCATGAATCCATTGTCAATTGCCAGGGAAAATAAAAACTCATCTGGTTCATTAACGTCCTTTAGGGAAGGAAACTGCCATCCTTATCTGGTCTGGCCTACATGTGACTTCAGACCCACAGCAATGTGGTTGGCTCTTAACTGCCCTCTGGGCAAATAGGGATGGGCAATCCAATGATGTCCTCATCCCAAGAACGAATATAAAAAGAATGTGTCATGGAATGTCCGGAATGGTGTTCTGATTCCGAAGTTCTTCTGTACACACTCAAGGTGCTGGCTCTAGAATTAAAAAATGAAAGAACTGCGGATGCTGTAAATTGGGAACAAAAACAAAAGTTTCTGGAGAAGCTCAACAGGTCTAGCAGCATCTGTGAAGAAAAAGGCAAGAGTTAACATTTCGGGTTTGGTGACCCTTCCTCAGAACAGTTCTGAGGAAGGGTCACCGGACCCGAAACGTTAACTCTGTTTTTTAGATGCTGCCAGACATGCTGAGCTTCTCCAGCAACCTTGTTTTTGTTGCTGGCTCTAGAATGTCTTCCTGAAACAGTTTTAGAGGGCTGAATTCCCTTTGCTTCAGACGATGAGGTAGATTCCAAGAAAATTCACTTCAGGAACTCTCCCCGCGTGGTAAAGATGACTTTCAATGAATTATCAGCTCTCTTACTTTGCTGAGAGGATTTGCAAAGATCAGAGAGAGGGAACATTGACTTGTTACTTCACAGGTCGGTCTCAGATATTCTGATTACATTCAAAAACACTGATCCGGCTCATAAACAGGTCCATGGGTCACCTCTCCGGAAGTTCTCCAGAGCCGCATGATACCATCGGAGCTCCCTACCCCTTGCAGATGCAACATTGTTACTATTGTACTCAGTGCCTTTCTTTAGCAAAGCATCTTTAGTTTAACAGTTTAAAAGACATATTTACATGGATCCTCATAATTCTTTTTATAAGTATTTGGATCACATCTCTTCTTCATACTTTCACCCTTGAGAGAAAGAAAATGTAGTTTAGATGTTTCATTTGTAAGGTGTTAAAATATAAGGGAAGATAAAACATAAGGAACACATATACAAACATTCACTCATTGGTCTAACTAATAGACTCATAGAGGTCTACAGCATGGAAACAGGCCCTTTGGCCCAACTTGCCTATGCTGCTCAGTTTTTACAATTTAAACAAGTCTCATTTGCTTGTGTTTGGTCCATATCTCTCCATACCTATCCCATCTATGTACCCATCTAAATGTTTCTTAAATGACAAAATTGTACTTGCCTCCAGCATTACCTCTGGCAGCCCATTCCAGACACCACCCTGTGTGAAAAAGTTGCATCCCCTTTTGTATCTCTCCCCTCTCACCTTAAACCTATGCCCTCACCATGGGGAAAAACTGTCTGCTATCTATCTTATCTGGGGCACACATGATTCTGTGGACCTCTATAAGGTCCTACACTCAGTCTCCTACACTTCAGGGGAAAAAAGTCCCTGCCTATCCAACCTCTCTTTATAACTCAAACCTTACAGTCCAGGTAGCATCCTAGTAAATCTTTTCTGCACTCTTTCTAGTTTAATAATATGTTTTCTATAGTAGAGCAACCAGAACTGCACTCAGTACTCCAAATGTGGCCTTACAGCTACATCAAGATATCCAACACCAAAACTCAGTGCTCTGACCAATGAAAGCAAGCATGCCGAAAGCTTTCTTCACCATCCTGCCTACCTGTGACTCCATTTTCAAGGTGCTGTGTTGCATCTTTTTTTTCCACCTTGGTATTCAGGTAATTCAAAACAATGTTAAGATTATACAGGCATTGATGGTGATCATTCGGGGATCACTGGAGACAAGAAGGGTCCGAAAGGACTTGGAAATGGTTAATTTAACAGCCCTGTTTAAGAAGGCAGTGAGACAGAAAATGGGAAACTACAGGCCGGTTAGCCTGACCTCGGTTTTTGGTAAGGTTTAAGAGTCTTATTATTAAGAATGAGATTGTGGAGTACTTAGAAGTGTTTGGTAAAATAGGGCCGAGTCGGCATGGCTTTGTCAAGGTGAGGCCATGCCTGACAAATCTGTTAAAATTCTTTGAGAAGGTAACAAGCAAGTTGGACCAAGGAGAGCCAGTGGGCATGATCTATTTGGATTTCGAGAGGCCTGTGATAACGTGCTGCTAAAAATGACAAGAGCCCATGGTGTTAGGGGCATGTTAGATAGTGACCTGGTTAGAGGATTGGTTGACTGGCAGAAGGCAGAGAGTATGAGTGACAGGGTCACTTTCTGGATGGCAGCCGGTGACCAGTGGAGCGCTGCAGGGGTCAGTTTTGGGAAAACAACTATTGATGTTATACATCAACAATCTGGCCTGAGGAACTGAGGGTATTGTTGCTAAGTTTGCAGATGACACAAAGACAGGTGGAGGACAGGTAATGTTGAGGAGGTCAGGAAACTGCTGAAGAACTTGTACGTGTTAGGAGAACGGATAAAGAAGTGGCAGATGGAATACAATGTGGCAAAGCGTGAGGTTATGCACTTTGGGAGGAAGAATAGAGGCTTGGACTATTTTCTAAATGTGGAAAGGTTCAGAAATCTGAATCACAAAAGGACTTATGAGTCCTAGTTCAGGATTTTCCCAGGTTAACATGTAAGTTCAGTTGGCAGTTTGGAAAACAAATGTAATGTCAACATTCATTTCAAGACGGCTAGAATACAGCAGCAGAGATGTACTACTGAGATTGTATAAGACTCTGGTCAGACTGCGTTTTAAATATTGTGAGCAGTTTTAGGCCCCTTATCTAAGGAAGGATATGCTGGCCTTGGAGGGGTGTCCAGAGGAGGTTTACAAGAATGATCCCAGAGATGAAGGTCTTGTCATATTAGGGGCAATTGAGAACTCTGGGTCTGTACTTGACAGAGTTGAGAAAGATGAGGACAGATCTCATTGAAACTTTTAGAATACAGAGAAATGTGGATAGAGTGGACATGGAGATGATGTTTCCACTAGTAGGAGAGACTAGGACCTGAGGGCACAGCTTCAGAATGAAGGTACAACTGTTCAGAACTGAGATTAGAAGGTATTTCTTCAGCCAGAGAGAGCTGAATCTATGGAACTCATTGCCATAGAAGGTTGTAGAGGCCAAGTCATTGAGTGTATTTAAGCCAGAGATAGCTATTCTTGAATCAAAGGTTACAGTGAGAAGGCAGGAGAATGGTGTTGAGAAACATATCAGCCATGATGGTGGTATAGAATCGATGGACTGAATGGTCTAATTCTGCTCCTATATCTTAAAGTCTTAAATTCTGAATAAAGCTTCAGCAAGCAAGTTGTTTTACCATATAATGTGGATAATCTTTAAATGATAGGGCTGTAATAGCAAACTTCATTGAAATAGTCTGGCATTCTTATTTTTTAATTGTTTTTACAACTGTTTGGTCATTATAATACTAGCATCTCCCTGACCCACGGTGGACATAAATATTCAAAGTGTTTAATAGCTAATTTTACACAGTTAAGTATCTCTTTTGGTTAAAACGTTTGGAAAAGTATCCCACTACACTTTCTATGCTTGATCTATCTTTCTGAAATAAGACTACAGCTACCCATTTCCCCTCCAGGTCACTAGCATCAATACTTACCTTGAAGGACTTAGTGATATTTGGGGAAGCTAGCATCAGCAGCTGGCTTTCAACTTCTCACAAGGTGCTTGACATTCCCCCGAACATACTGGCTCAGTTTTCTTCTGTAACAAGTCTGTCAATGGCATAGATATAGTACTGAAATTTGGTTCATGGTTTCCCATTTGGTTTTAAGGGCAAGGAATTCCATCGATGCCTGTAATTTTGTTCTTTTTGGCATTGCCTGTCCCTGACCCACGATTTATCCATGTTTTTGTGCACTTGCTTTTGGCAAGGTTCACCACTAAATCAGCTGATTGTAATCTTTCAAGAAAGCTTCTAATTGTTCTGTATGGTTACCCGCTAAGTCACTGTGTCAGTATGATATCAAGGTGTACTATACAATAAGGAACACCTGCTACTACTTGGTTCATAAGTATCTGGAATATGGTCAGAACACTTTTTTTCAGTCCAAATAGTATAACTCAGCATCGGAAGTCTGTTTAGTGTGATAAATGCCAATATTTCTAGAACTCAGGGTGTTTAGGAAACCTGCCATTATCCCCTTAGCAGATCCATTTTAGTTAAAAATGTGGCTCTTCCAACTCTGTCAATACTGTCCTCCAGATAGGAAATTGGGTAGAGGTTTGGTCTGCTTACTGGATTAACCTTTCTATAGTCTACGCAGAACCTGGTTGAACCATCAGTTTTGGACACTAGCAGTTCTGGGAAACTCCAAACACTTTGACTGGGTTTAATTAGGTGGTTTTCCAACAACGTATTGGAATATGTACTTTGACCTGGGCCTGATTCTTGGGACCAATACAATAGGGAGGTTGTTTTATGGGACTCTTTATATCTACATTGAATAAAGCTAATGTTGTGCACCCTAGGTTGTCCCAACAGACTGTGAACAACCTTGTTTGGTTTCCTTGCTGTTCTGCATCTAAATATGGCAGCCTAATAGTTCAGTGTTCACTAACCAAACAATAGTAGTTTCAATTTGAGAATTGTGCATGCCTTTTCCTGTTTTATCTTCCTTACCCCTTTTACCTTCCACTGTCCTTTATTGCTTGGCAGACCTTTGTCTGTGTATCCTCCTTCAGGCTCTGGTACGTTTCAGCATGTGGCTATGACACAGCTGGGTAATTGTCTGGATTTTCATACAAACAATTCACTTCACAAATCATCTCAACTGCTGTATAGGGACTACTGCTTTCAGCGGTTCACTCTAAAAGTAGCAACAATGCATAGTTGAAACATTCTGCATTCAACCTCTTCGTCGACCTATTCATAAGGTTTTGGAGTGCATCTCTCCAACTTTTCTTAATGTCTCTATTTCTAATCAACCTGTTCAGAGATGTTATGACACATCTCGGGAGCAGGTGGAACCTGAACCTGGAACTCCTGACCCAGAGGTAGGGATACTGACATGGCACCACAAGAACCCTACACTCTTATCTTCTCATAGCAATATCTAGGAATGACCTATTGTCCGTAATCTAATCAAATAGATAAATAGTTGATCAGTAGAGTAACAGATATTTGGCGACAGATTATGTGCTGGAATAAATTAGGACATAGGAATATCTCTTTCACCCCAAAGTTTTATAATCATTTATTTCTCATGAATATGCCAATCCTATATTTTTATGACATTTCTGTGTTTCTACTTGATGTTTTTTGTTGTTGTTGGAGTAGCTATCTCAGACTTTAGTAACATATCATATCTGAAATCTGTTCCCACCTTCTTCTTTTAAAGGCCTTGACTCCCTGCTCAGTCACAAACATTGAAAAAGTACATACAAGATTTAGTAGAATGACACTGGAACTGAGAGGTTTTATTAATCAGGAAAGGATAAACAAGGCAACACACTTTTCTCCAGAACACAGAAGGCTGGGGTTAATCTGAGAAGAGTGCTTTTATGAAGGCGGCTTTAATGAGGTACAGGAGTAGGGAGTGACCAGAATGAGAGAGCCATAAAGATAAGGCAGGATGAATAAATCCAATAGGGAATTCAGGAGAACTATCTTCACCAAGAGAGTGGTGAGAATGTGAAACTCTCTACCACAAGGAATAATTGAGATAAATAGTGCTGCAAACATCTAGGGGCAACCTAAATGTGTATACCAGGAAGGTAGTAATAGATAGGATGAGGATCATATGAGGCATTGATAGCAAGAGGAACCTATTGGGCCAAACGAGCTACATGTTTATTGCTGAGACAAATTTTCCTACTAACACCAAAGACTTTCCCTGATGGGGTTATTGTTGTTTTCCCATTTCCTTCTGCAGTACTCTGGCAAATGGTACTTCATTATGATGGCAGCGGACTCGGATGCCTCACTGATCAAGTTCAGACACATGGACAGCAACGTCTTCCAGCTCACACCCGTGGAGGACCAGCAGAAGCTGCTCCTCCGAGGAGAGATCCGTCTCAGCCAGTGCGTACCTCACTGCTCAACTGGTTATGGAATGACATTAGCCGTACTTCTCACTGCTAGGCTTTTACCTGGTGAAGTGATGTTCTGTAACTAGAATGCTGAGAAAAGAAAATCATTATCAGCTTTCATCTCAATTAGGCATGTTGTGGCAAATCCACATCCAACAACCTACTCTGAAAACTCTGCTCACATTTTGACACTTGTGACAAATTCCACCACAGAAGCTGAAACAATCCATAATGTTATCAAACAACTGTATTCTTGAAAAAAAAAAACATCTTTCCCTATTTCCCAATGTTGATGATTTCTTTTTAAGAATTCCAGGATCTAGATCTGCATCTTTACCAAAAACTAATCAATCTTCCTTGAGCTTGATCTTTTCTGTGTTTCAAGTTCCACTGAACTCTATCCATATGTTTTGAGATCATTTACAGATGGACTAACGAACAACTGTAAAGACATTACTTCCACCTATCTTTATTGATGAAGGTCCTTATTATGGCAAATGGAATGTTGGCCTTTGTTCTAAGGGGAATTAAGCATAAAGATATTGTAGGAAGTCTTGCTACAACTGCAAGGGGCATTGGTGAGTCTGGACCTTGAGTACTGTGTACAGTTCTGGTCTCTTAAGCAGTAAGGGAAACAGTTGCATTGGGAATATTTCCGAGAAGGCTCATTGGGCTGGTTCTATGGATTTAGGGGGTTTCAATTATGAAGAAAGGTTGAACAGGGTGAGCCTATACTCATGGGAATTTGGAAGAATGAGAAGTGATCTCATTCAAAGATAGAAGATTCTGGAGGCCTTGCGAGGATATTTCAGAAGCAGAAGGAATAGCTTCAGAATAAGGGTTTTTATTCAAGACAAAGGTGAGGAAGAAAGTCTTTTGAATTCTCTCCCTCACCAAGTGGAGGAGTCTGGATCATTCAGAAGGTATTGAGATTGGTCAGATTCAATAGGTTCATGGTTGATACAGATTTCTGTTTGAGAAGTGAAACCAGGATTTTACGTGATAAGCAGGAACGTGGGGTTAAGGTCAAATTCAGATCAGCTATGACCTTATTTAGTGATAGTGCAGGCTGGAAGGAATGAATTGCCTACTCAGACCATCTGGGCCAAACTGACCTTCTGAAGAGCATTCCCCCCATCCCCCCCCCCCCCCCCCCCCCCCCCCCAACCCCCACCATGCCCCGTAAACCCACATTTTCCATGGCTAATCCACCTAGTCTACTCATCCCTTGACATTATGGTCAATTTAGTATGGCCAATCCACCTAACCTGCACATCTTTGGACCGTGGGAGGATACCAGAGGAAACCCACACAGACACGGGGAGAATGTGCAAACTCCACACAGATAGTCCCCCGATGGTGGAATGGAACTCGCAGGTGCTGTGGGGCAAGCACTGCTAACCACTGAGCCATCCTGCTGCCCTATTGCTATACTCCTTGTATATTTCCTACACGCTTATTTCTCAGGTTCATATATTATCATCAAGAATGGACTGGTTATAACCAGTGTACTGTTGTATAATGTACTCAGGAGAATTATACTCAGTGTTGTTACATAATTTTTGAACAAGTTGCATGTAATGTTGCATAATTTTTATTCCGAGGGGAACTGAATGTAGAGTAGAAAAGTTACGTTTCAGTTATACAGGATATTCGTGAGACAGCATCTGGAGAACTGTATATGGTACTGGTCATCATACTTAGAGAAGGATGTTAATGCATTGGAAGTAGTTCAGGAGTACTAGAATAATAACTGGGATGGGCAGATAGCACTATGAGGAAAGGATAGACAGACCAGGCCAGTATCGTCTGGAGTTTAGAACAGTCAGAGGTGACTTAATTGAAACATATAAGATCCTGAGGGGACTTGACCAGGTAGATATAGAAAGGATGTTCCCTCCTGTGTGAGAATCCAGAACTAGGGTCATGGTTTAAAAACAAGAATTCATCCATTTAAGACAGAGATTAAGGAAAAAAAAATTCTCAGAGGGTTGAGAGTCTTTGGAATTCCCTCTCTCAAAAGGTAGTGGTGCAGAATCTTTAAATATTTTTAAGGCAGAGCTAGATAGATTATTGATTACCTTGGATAGCCAGAAATGTAGAATTGAGGTTAAAATCAAATCAAACATGATCTTATTGAATGGAGGAGTTGACTTGTTGCTTGTTTGTATGTAATTAGGAGAATGATACCACTATATTAATTACTCTCTCCTCCTGTATCAATGAATTAGATTAATCTCCACCAAGGGTAGAGAGAGTAAACAGTATTTTCAGTGGCAGAGAGAATGAAAAGTGTCTTCAGCAGAGCAGGATAGAAAGAGAGAGTGATCATGGTCCTTGATGAAAGAACATAGGACATGGGACTGAAAACATACATTAGGCCATTTGGCTCTTTGAGCATCTTCCAACATTCAATATGATAATGGCTGATCTGGTTGTGGTCTCAGTTCCACCTTCTTGTCTGTCCCCCATATGTATATAAAAAAAAACTAACTTGGCCTTGAATAATTCAAGAATGGGAACAGATAGTGGTCAGGATATTCAGATGAGGCCAGAGGGTGTTAGTCTTTGGTAGAGAGGACAAAGTGAGTGCTCAGTGATGAGGAGAGTGAGATAACAGCATAACCCAGAATATGATGTTTTGATGTTGCTCCATAGATCAATGAAGTGTTTGTCTCGACAGTGGATCTACCACATCAACAACAAGACACAAGAGATGATCCTGGAAGGTAAGCACACAACAAAGGCAACTCCAACAATATCTTCATAGCTCAAATCCCCCTGTTCGTAGAGTAACATTTGTGCCATACAAATGCCAGGTAATGACCACCTCTAATAAGAGTCAATCTAATCACTGCCCCTTGATATTCAACAGTGTTACTTTCACTGAATTTCCCACTATCAACATCTTTGAGGTTACCATTGACCAGAAACTCAACTGGATTCGCCACATAAACACAGTAGCCGACAACAGCAGCTCAGAGGTTAGGAATACTGCAGCAAGTAACTCACCTCCTGACTCCCCAAAGCCTGTCCACCATCAACAAGGCACAAGTCAGGAGTGTGATGGAATACTCCCCACTTGCCTCGAAGAGTGCAGCCCCAACAACACTTTAGACACCCGACACCATCCAGGACAAAGCAGCCCACTTGATTGGCACTACATCCACAAGCATTCAATCCCTCCACCACTGACAATCAGTAGCAGCAGTGTGTACTGTCTGCAAGATGCACTGCAGAAACTCACCAAAGATCCTCAGGCAGCACCTTCCAAACTCATGACCATTTCCACCTAGAAGGACAAGGGCAGCAGTTACATCGGAACAACAACACCTGCAAGTTCCCCTCCAAACCACTCACCATCCTGATTTGGAAGTATGTCGCTGGGTCAAAATCCGTAGCTCCTATCCTAAGGGTGTTGCAGGTTAATTTACAGCTTGTGCCAACTGTGGTTCAATAAAGCAGCTCCCCACCACCTTCTCAAGAGCCACTAGGGACAGGCAATAAATGCTGTCCAGCCAGCAATACCCATGTCTCGTGAGTGAATAAAAAATATACTGCAGACATATTGCCACAGGCAGAACATCGTTTTATACAGGCAAATGCTTTGTTCGTGCACAGTTCTCAATATTAATGCTACGTTACTCTATTAAATACATGGGAACGTTCTACACAAGGACAAAAAGAAGCTATTCAGTCCCTTGAATCTGTTCCACCATTGATTGTGGTCATGGCTCCAAATTCCTTAATACATGTCTTTGCACAAACCTATATATTACCAAATTGAGGTTCATAAAAGAATTGTTCAAGAGCATGTGGGCATTGCTGGCTAGGCCAGCATTTATTTCCCATCCCTAATTGCCCTGGAGGACGTGTTCTGAACTACTTCTTTGAACCACTGCAGTCCTTGAGATACAGAGAAATTTACAGTACTGTTAGGAAAGAAGTTTCAGGATTTTGACTCAGAGAAGGAATGGCAATACATTTCTAAGTTAGGATGGTGGGTGATTTAGAGGGGAACCTGCAGGTGGTAGTATTTTCATATATCTGCTGCCTTTGCTTCTCTAGGTGTAAGGGGTTGTGGGTTTATTTGGAGGGTGCTGTCTAATTTAACTAATTTTATTTTGAGTGTTTCTAAAATCTATCATCCTTTATGTGAATAAGTGTTTCCCAACTCCTCTCCATAATAGCAACATCCCATCACTCACATACATTCCACCAGTGGACACTTTTAACATTTTATACTCCCCGTAATGTAAAACTATCTTGCATAACCTCTCACGCATAATGCACACAGGATGTTCAGAGTCAGTGGTGGTTATTATTGAAGGACAATTATTTCAGCCCCAGGCCAGAACCACAGGAACTTCTCAGGATCATGTCCTAGGCCCAATGTCTTCAGCAGCTTCATTAATAACCTAACTTCTGTTACAAAGCCGGGAACTAGGGACGTTACAAAGCCGGCAACTAGGGAAGTTCGTTGAGTGTTCAGTACCATTCACAAGTCTGCAGATGTTTGGGACAGCTCAGTGGTTTGCACTGCTGCCTCACAGCACCAGGGACTGGGGTTTGATCCCAGCCTTGGGTAATTTGTGGAGTTTGTGTGTGGAGTTTGCATTGTCTCCCGTGTCTGCATGGGTTCCCTCCGGGTGCTTTGGTTTCCTTCCAAAGATGTGCAGGTTAGGTGGATTGGCTATGCTTCAAAAGAAAAATTGACCCCTAGTTTCAAACAGTGTGCAGCCTTACTACACTGCAATGATTATGTTCAGGTCATAAGCAGTCTATACCCATATATAGCAAGGAGAGGGGGGAGGAATTATCATACTTAGGGTCAGGAGCTGCAAACGGGATTCATGCTGCAAAAGTGTCATGCAAGCAATGACCACCTCCATTGAATGTTTAATGGCTTTAACACATTAGACACTGGGTAGTGTAGATCTTGCCCTTTCCCTCTTCTGAGAATTGATGGTGCAGTGGGTCAGCCATTCTCTTTTTACTATCTGCAACTGGAAGGTGAGTGGATCAGAAACTGTCCTTACTTCCTCTAGGACTGGATAGGACAGTGAATTTGAAAACTGTGCTGGCAAATCGTGAAAATGGCAAAGAATCCCAGCTAACTGCGCCCCAAACGATAGACACTGATATTATTACTTTTTTAAAATCAGTGGTACAGTGAGTCAAACACTGTCCTAAACCCTTCTAGGACTGGGTGGGCCAGTGGATGTACCCTTTCCCTCTTTGGGAATGCGCAGGGCAGTCGGTTCAGACAAGATCAATGAAAGAGCCTCTATGCTTGTCAAAACCACAGATGTACCGGTTTGATTCTTACACATCTTTTCAATTTGTCTCCTTATTTGAGGCCGGCCTTATCTGAAGACGGAGATCTTTGTGAAGGAGGGCGATGATTATATTGTACTTCTGGAATCACAAGATAAAGGATCAGAGCATTTCCGAAGGCTGATGCTTTATGGTAGGAACCACACCACAGGCACATGCAATGGCAAACAAGGGGATAAATGAAATGCAGAATGCTTGGGTCAAGAGTCTTTTTCCATCTTGGAATTTCCCTCCTCATTTAGTCCTTTTAGTATTAAATGGTTGGCTTCAAAGATTAGGTACGCATTTCACTGATGATAAGAGATGAATAGATGATCTAATTGAAGTGGCAAACAGGGGAGGTACAGGGAAATCATTTCCTGTGTTGTGGAGAGTTTAGAGCAAATGAGTGTCACGTTAACTTTACAGCTAGTCCCTTTAGGGCGGAAATCTGCAAGTATTTCTTCAGCCAGAAGTTGCTGGAAATATGCAACTCTACCCAAAACACTACTGAGAAGATGAGGGGGCAGGTCAATTGATAAATTTCAGAACTGAAATTGCTAAGGGTTTTAACGACTGAAAAAGGCATAAATAATTGAAGTCCCTTTGTTACTGAGATTTAAGCAGATGGATGCTTGAAGTAGAAATTCTTTATTCTATTAAGTCTTTACAAAAATGAAGAAAATTTAACACTAAACTGGGAAGCACAGCATTTTACGCTTACATCCACAGCTTGGCTGAGGAATCCTTTGTCTGTCTGTCCGTCTCTCTGTCTCCACACGACCTGTCTGACAAAGGCAACCCCTTCGGGAGAGAGCGGGTGTCCGTAGGTACCACCAAGCGTCCATGCTCGGTGCCCACTCTCATTGCTGTCAACAATTTGAAATAGCTTCATTATAAATATCAAAAAGGAGTTAACCCTGTTATCCCAACAACTCATATCTAAACCTGAGTGAAAGGTCACCCCTATCTCCATAACTCCATGTTCAGCTGGCATAACTATAATTGATTCCTTTTCTAAGAAGTTCTGTGCATTCAGTAAATGCTATCTTCACCAGTTAATGTCTCTCTCTGAGACCCGTAAACAAGTTGCTAGATCAGTTCACTTACTATTTAAAAACATGTTCCTTAAACTCATGCATTCATCAGCTTTGTAGATATCTTCCTCTCTCATACTCCAACAGCCGCCTGTTTCTGGAGATTGACTTATATGCCAGTCAGGACTTCTTTTCAGCTCAGACTAGTTGGTGGCTGGTCATAACAGCACCTCTGCTATTAGGGAGCTCTTCTCTCCTGAAACTGCGCGCTGCCTGCTATCTTCTGGATTGTTCTGACTTCCTGTGTTACTGGACTCCTGCTGCTACGCAACACCAGCTCTTTTTCTCTCTTTTTTTCCTAATGCACTGAATTTTCACCACAAGGTTTTAAAGACCCCATTTAAATGCACTAAAAGTAAACTCTACACAGCATGCTACCACTCACAAAATAAATCTAAAATGAAACGAAAAACTGAGGCTTTCCCTTCTTTACAAACACAAGGACAGAATTTTAATTTCATTTTAAAGCTAAACATGTTTCTTTCAGTGTAGAATCCAAACTCTCAAACAATAATCTACTATGAACATTCATCGCATAACCAAACATCGCCCAGTTGGGTAAAGAATCATTTTGCCATCCATTGCTACCTTATGCAGGAAGCTCATCTGTTCAAGCACTTGCTGTTGGTAACTGACTGCATATTCTAAAAACAGTACTATCTTTAAAGTGGTAAACTCAGTAGCCTTTTGAAAACTTAGTTTCTTGGATTGAATAGATCTTTTACCCCTGGTTACCTTGAAGTATTTAAGCAACCTTACCTGTTGCTAATCACCATGTTGTACGTACTGTAGAGCAAACCAATACCAGTTAACTTTGATCTTTTTGTACTGGGTCTAAGGGCCTGTTGCGTTAACAACGATAGAGCTGTCAGTGAGTCTTAACAAGAATAGCCTCTTGTCTCAACAATAAACTGTAGTTTATTGCATGATAGCAAATAATGATGGCTAATTAGACATAATAAATAAGTCAATCTGAAGCTAGGAATGACGTCTTGTCCCCCCATTGAAATCTCGAGCTATACTCCTCATTCCCACCTAAAATCATCAGATTGTGTGGAACTTAATGCAATCTGCTACATTAACCCTTTCAGAACCATTACCTCACACATTAATCTTCAGTACTATTATTGGGATTTTGTCATGGTCTAACCTATGCAGTATACAGTGTCTTCAGTCATTTCCTGATATCACATGGGAGTGAGTCAAATTGGATGAATAATGGCATTTCTGATATTGCAGACTTCAAGAGAAGGCTGAGATGGCTCATTGACATGGCACATTCATTTGGTGCCGGGTGCAAATGCAGCTATATTGCCTTTTGCATCAACATCCTGTGCTCCACTATCATTGATGATGGGATATTTGTTGTGATTCCTCCTCCTATTATTGTGTGTCCATTATTAACCAAGACTGGATGCTGAGGAACAGCAGAGCTTTAAATCTATTGATTGAGATTGGTTAGCTCTGCCAACGGATGCTGTTTCCAGTATTTACCATACAAGCAGTTGTGTTGTAACTTCATAAGGTTGACATCTCACTTTGGTGCTGCTCCTAGCATGCCTCTCTGCACTCAGTATGGATTCATTTAATCACAATCTTATGAAGGGAAATGGATAAACATTTAAAGGAGAAACATTTGTAGAGGAAAGATAAGAAGAGATGCAAGATTTATTGGACAGTTCTTTCATGAGGTGGTACAGACACAATGGATGGAACAGCTTTCTTCTGCACATCTATACTTGTGGGGCAAAAGGCTGTAATAAAAATTCTGGCATTAGTGGGTCCTGCTAGTAATAGTCATTTTTAAATCAATCTGCTCAGACATGTTATGACACACCTCTGAAGGAGGCTTTCTGGCGCAGAGATTGGGGACATTACTGCTGCACCAACAGCAGCAATTGTATAATCAATTTGAAGGCAATGTAAAGGATGATTGAAAAAAATTATTCCAATCAACCTGTTTGGACAAGACAGGTGGGATTTGAACCGGGCTTCCTAGTCCAGATGGAGGGATCTTGCCACAAGTCACCATTCCTGCCAGTTATAAAGGTGATAGCACACTGGTTTATAGAATTCCAACATGTAATTTGTACCAGGGTTGTCAGGAGAGGGGTGTCAATTTGTTGTAATCATTGATTGTTGCCAAACTATCAATACACATGGACTGTGCAATTAAAACCTCTCTCTTCCCCCCCGCCACACTCCTCTATCTGCTCGACTTTCCTCTTCTCTCTCAATACAGGAAGATTTCCAACCTTAAGTGACTTTGCCCGCCTGAAGTTTGAACACCGTGCCAATTGCTTGAACCTGACTGCCATTCTTGTTCTGGAACAGGCCCAAGGTCAGTAACTAGGGGCATTCCCTCTTCAAACCCTCTCTTGCTTTATGTCCTAAAGATGCTGGTTGTGTTAGAAAATTAAACAAATTACTCAATCAATTAATTAAATAAATAAATAAAATGGTACGAGTTGATGAAAGAAAGAACTTTTACTGCCTCAGGTCACCCCAAAGTTTGACAGATTTAGCAGTTCTGAGGATGTAGCAAGCCAGGTAGATGCAGGAAAACCAATAGATGTAACATATTTGGATTGCCAACAGGCATTTGAAAAGTTTCCATATAAAAAGGTACCAACACAAGCCAACAGCTCATGGTTTTGGAGGTAGTACATAGCACGGATCAAAGATTGGCTAACCAGAGAAACAGGATAAATGGGTTTTTAGTGATCTGCCACAGAGATCACTGCTAGAATCTCAGCTATTTACAATCCATAATGATTTAGATGAAGAGACTGACTGTACAGTTGACAAATTTGTTGACAAAGGTACAAAAGAAAGTTGTGAGGACAATATAAAGAGACTGCAAAAAGGAGATAGATAGGTTAAGCTTGGCCCCAAAAAAAATTTAGATGGACAATAACATGTCTGCTTTGGCTGAAAGAATAGGGAAGCAGTGCATCAATCAGAGAATGAACAACAATGTACTTTATGTGCACGGACAAAACATTCACATGAAAGCACAGCAAATAATCAGGAAGGCAAATGAAATGTTAACCTTCATTGAAAAGGAGATGAAGTATAAAACAGGGTAAGTTTTTAAGCAACTGTACAGTGCATTGGTGAGGCCAGACTATGTACAGAAAACTGTGTATGGTTATGGTCTCCTTACTGATAGGGGGACACATCTGCATTGGAGACAGGTCAGAGAAGCTTCGCTATGCTGATTCCTGACTTGGGGACAGCAACTTATAAAAATGAGGTTGAACAGATTTTTGCTGATAATTACTGGGGTTTAGAGGGTGACCTTACTGAATAAAGATAGGATTCTTGACAGGATAGATGGTGAATGTTTCCTCTCATGCCAGAATTGAGCACTAGAGGGGCAGAGTTACAAAACAAGAGTATCCCATTTAAGACCGAGATGTGAAGTAATTTTTTCACTTGGGGGTCATTCACCTTTGGAATCCTCTTTCCACAATGAGCAGTGGAGGCGATGACCTTGTGCTATTATCACCAGACTAATAATTCAGACACCCAGGTAATGATCGGAGGACACAGGTTCAAGTCCTCCCATGGCAGATGGTGGAATCTGAATTCTGAACAAATCTGGAATTAAGAGTCTAATGATGACCATCAAACCATTGTTGATTGTCAGAAAAAGCCATCTGGTTCACAAATGTTGACTCATGTGCCACCCTGTGCTCTCTGGACAATTAGGGATGGACAATAAATTGCTGGCGTTGCCAGCGATGCCCACATCCTGTGAACAAATCTTTAAAAAAAGTCAAGTCAACAAATTCAGCAAGGAAACCCCAGAGGGAAGCAGGCTGAAAAGTGGAGTGTCAGCTGCAATCAGATCAACCATCATCTTATGGCTTAAGATGGCGAAGAAGGCTTAAGGAGCCAAGTGGCTTACACCTACCACTATTTCTTAAGTGCTTCATTGGCTGTAAAATGTTTTAAGTAAAGCCACTATTGCAATATCGGTAACGTGAAAGTCAATATTAGTTACACAATTAATAATGACCAGATAATCTGCTCCAGCAATGTTGTTCAAGGGATAAATATTTGTCTGGACACAAAGGAAAACTCGGCATCTGTTCTTCACTATGGGTATACTATGGGTTCTTTTACATGCATCTGAGGGGACAATATGGAGGTTCAGTTTAACATTGTGCCAAGAAGATAGCAACCTCTGATAGTGCGGTAGTTGGAGCTAGCAGCCATGTTTATTGCTCAAGTCTCTGGAATGGGGCATTAACTCTCAACCTTTGTGACTGTGAGACAGGAAAAGCCATTGAGCTACTTTGCACATCCACTGGGAGGCAGTATCTGGTGTATTACGAGATTAGAATACATTAAATCCAATGCACAGACATCAGCTAAAGACAGGATCAAGCCAGTGGGATTCTGAAACTGTCAGAGGTACATTATGTGCCCAATCACAGAGCTGTTGGTGTGTCATTGCCCACAGAACAAAATAGTGAGGTCAGAACGTTCAAAACAAGAGGATGGGAGGGACGGGGTGCTGGGAGGGTAGGAAGGTCAGTAGATTAAGACAAGGATAGCATTGAAAATGAGTTTCATTCCACACGCTTATTGTTTTGACATTGTAGTAATTATTTTTCTCCTTTTCCTGCAGAGCCTTGTGAGATTTCTTGAGTTAGAATTTCCAACCTTCATGACCTTGTAAACCAGGACCACGAGGGCACAACTCCTGAACTGCCTCCTCTGCACTTGTTATTGGTTTGCCTTTTGTGGAACATTGGATGCGACTATCTTGTTTGCTGATGATTAACTTGATTGTTCTACGATTCACTTTGGTTTCCTTTGGAAAACAAAAAAGGAAATGTCCCTCTGAGGGGGAAGGTGGGGAGAAGTGTGAAAGAAGAAACAGAGGCACTGTCCCCACTATTTAATGTAGGGTTTCTTCAATAAGATTTATCTATCGCTTTTCACTTGCCGAAGGGGGACTACAAAAGGGGGCGACCGCAGATGGTCTCAATACACTTTGCATACAGTGTCATAGGACCAGGAGGCTGCCATTTTGAGTCTGCTCTGCCATTCAGTGAAGTCTTGGCTACTGTTGTGCCTCACCTCCACTATGCCTCTCCCTGTTCTTACCCGCCCTCCCCATATCCAAAGTCCAAAGAGGTACTGGTTAGGTGCAAAGTTTCAATTCTTTTGTGCCCACTTTCTTTTGCTGTTCCCAAAATGCTGAGGCACTTCTTCCTGTTCCAAACCAAGTTGGATCATCTGAATGCAGTGGAGATTGGAAATTTGAGCTCTGAGTAAAACACACCCATAATTGAAATAACCAATGCTTTTTGCTCAATTTAATATCTCTTAATTTATGCTCATGAATGCAAAATTCAGGTGTGTTCTTTTATGGGTGTGTGAATAAGAGACGGATTTTCCTGTGTTTACTGCACCCAGGCACTGGAACAGTTTGCATCAAACCCTGATTTCATATTTTTTTGGGTATCTGAATAAAAATCCAATATCTAGAAATGTGCAACCCATTATGAAGTGTAGAGAATCAAAATGTTGAACATCAGACATTACTGGTGATAATTGTGCGCTTCTGTGTTTGTGTATATATGTGCCTTTGTTTGCATGGAACGGACAATGAATAAAGGTCTTGTGTCTGTATTGGAAGTTTGTGGAATATTGTGGATACTCAATGCACACGAACAACACAATGATATAGCTCTGATCGTATACAACATTTCCAAGAAGAATTAAGGACTGGAACAACTTTTCACAAGCTATCATCTCAATGTCCTTGATGGACTCATTTAACAAGAATGTGTTAAAACATTTCTTTTCCCAATAAATGCGACCAATGAGACATATTGTGCACCTCTTTTGATAATTCTCCACTGGAAAAGAACGGAGGGCAATTTTATCAAGAACCAAGATGAAGCTATGGTAACACAGAAAAACAGCTAAGGCAATTAGAGGAATTTAAAAAAGAAAAGTTGGAGTTGATATACAGATCACCATAATCTCAATTCAACAGACCTGTCTTCTTGGTTGGACACAGACTTTTCTTTTTGTTCCTTTTCCAATCCCGTCCCCCTTGCTTAAAACCTATCACATTTCTAACTTTTCCCAGTTCTGATGAAAGGCTGCCAATCTGAATTAATTTTGTATCCCCTCATGCAAGATGCTGACAGACCTGCAGCATATTTTCAAATGTATCTGGATGATCTAATTGAATGAGGCAACAGGCTTGAGGGGCTGATAGGCATGTTTTTGTTGTTATGTAAGTTGTTTTTTGGGCTTAGACAGAGGTTGGGTTAAGGATAAGAATACAGAATGGAATCTGGGGCGTGATGAAATATTCTACACTTGTCTAAATGATGCAGCTCCAATACTCAAGAAGCTCAACACCATCCATTACAAAGCAGCCTGCTTGATTGGCACCCCAAACACCCCTTTCAATATTCACTCCCTTCACCAGTGACTGCAGTGTGTACCAAATATAAGATGCATTGCAGCAATTCACCAACGTTTCTTTGATGACATCTTCCAAACTCGTGACCTCTATCACGCAAAAAGGACATGGGCAACAAATACACTTCAACATCACCATCTGCAAGTTTCCCTCCAAGCCGCACACCATTCTGACTTGGGATTATAATTAATGTTCTTTTACTGTTAAAATCCTGGAACTTCCTCCCTAACACCACTGTGCATGCATCATCACTGCATGGACTACAACAGCTTCAGAAAGCTCCTCACCACTACCTTCTCAAGGGCGATGAGGGATGAATACAGAGGGCATTTGAGTGTCAACCATATTGCTATGGCTCAGGAATCGTATACGGGGCAGACCAAGATAAGCAAGATAGATTTTCCTTTTCTAAAGGACATAGTGAACCAGATGTGTTTAACAGCATGCTTTTAATTCCAGGTTTATTAACTTAATTCAAATTTCATCATCTGCCATGGTGGGATTCAAACCCATGCCCTAGAAAATTAGGCTGGGACTCTGATCATTAATCCAGCGACAATACACTGTCATTGCCTCCCCTAATGTACTGTGCAATGTTTCATTTTTATTCCACCGTGATGCAAGTTAAATTTGATAATAACGTGATACACAGCAACCTTAAGTATGTACACAAAATATCAGTAAAAGTATTGATTTTGAGTGGCAATTCTTAAATCGATTTATAAAGTCAGAACAGTTTTTTTTTTGCATAAAAGGGTTTTTTGTAGCCCACATGAACCCCTCCACTAGACTCCAGCCTGAGGGGAAAGAAAAACTCCAAGCATCTATTATTCTGTATAATAAAACTATCTGAACCCCTCAATCAGATTCCATTCTGTAACTCACTCCTAGGCATCCATTATTCTAGGTATACACAATCTTAGCCCCTCAATTAGGTTCCAAACTATAACCTGCTCGTGATTCTATATTTTTTATATATCGCCAAACCTGTGTAACATTGTATGATTTAGTTGGACAATATAGTTTCATACCTGTCTCCACTGTCCTTGTATAGCTGTTGCCTTCCATCCTCTTTGTTCTCAACGCAGAGTAAAATTAGGCGGGAACATGATGCAAGCTTTTGCATCTGATTCTTTCAGCTTCCCTCTGGATGAGTCAGGTCAGATTTTAGTCGGTCTCAGCCAAGAAGTCCCAAGCAGCTGTGGCAAGGCTACGTGCAAGAGGGAGGAGGAATACCAGTGGACCCATTCCTTTACAGGGAGGTGCATGTGAGTATTTAGCTTGATGGGTAGTGTGGCATGGAGTTATGAATGATGCCCTCTATACTGCAGCCGTGGACTGTGACTGCTCACCCACAAGAGATATGGACAATGCACCTCATTTCAGGACAAGTGTGGAAGGAAACAGAAGATTGACAACGAACTTGGCTCCTACTATCAAGGAGTTTGTGTTTTCTTTTAATTATTACTGGAACATATTCTCTACTCAAATACACTGTACCATTTGATGTGACATAGTGTAATAGGAACAATCATAATTTCCATGCAAAACACGGTTTACCAAAGATAAAGGAAAAAGAGGAAAATAATTCTAAAAATTTTCTAAATAACGGAATAATGTCACTCGCTGTCAAGTGCAGCTAAACGCGCAGTATTTACATACAGCCACTTGCACTGTCAATGCCGATGAATGTGCATCAATGTGAAATGGTGCAGGTCGCACAGTCAGACATAGGGCTGTTAACAACTGATGGCAATAAAAGCTGGACTTGTGGTTCCTGGTCTATCTGCTCTGTTCAACTGCAACACAAGGTGGGCGGGGCAGGGGGGTGGGCGGGGGGGGAGAGAGAGAGAGAGAGAGAGAGAGAGAGAGAAATTAACATAGTTTAATATCTTGAACATTGAAAAATTTTTTTTGCTCAATGCACATCCATTCCTCCTCTTCCCCAAACACTACCTGGACTGAAGTCAGCTAACTCCTCAGATCAGGTGCCAGTGATGGGTTATCAGATGCTTTGACTAGTTTGGCCTCAGGTGAGCTTACCTGGTGCCTTTAAACACGAAGCAATGATTAAGCTTATATTCTTTCAGCAGACACCACACCCAAGAACATACTAAAGATGCTTCATAACCAATAAAGTATATTTTCCAAAGTAAGGTCAGAAGTCACATGTCACCAGGTTATAGTCCAACAGTTTTTTTTTGAAATCACAAGCTTTCAGAGCGCTGCTCCTTTATCAAGAGAAGTAATGCAAGGGGGTATACACATCGCTGTTCTCCTTTATTCATGCCATAAATCACAAACAATAATGCAAGTGAAATAAAACTTACCAGAAGAGACCTTTCCCACTCACACCCTCAACTGACTACTTGGACATCGCTGAGATCGTAATAACTTTGCAGTATTTGAGGTATATAATTTTTTCCTGGTTTATCGAGAGTGCCACTTCATAAGGTACCGGTTAAAACAAAGTTTGCTGCACTGTTGAAGGGCTCGTTTATCCTCCTGAGAATGTGGGCAGTGCCTCTGTTTAACATCTCACCCAGAAGTGGCACCACCACAGCACTGTACAGAGATTTTAATGTTCCAGCTCCTGACACAAAATTAAAGGAATTCCAAAAGTCAGTGATGCCCAGAACAGATCTGGTGCAATAGGCATAGTGATGGTGTTGGCCCAATAATTCAAAAGGCTGATTTTCAATTCTATAATGTTGCAAAATTATTTCTACAATCATGCGGGGACTAGAGAAGCTCGGGGTGCTCACCTTAGAGCAGAATTAATCGAGGTGCTCAAATTTATAAAGGGTTTTGACAATGGTATAAAGGGGAAGTCGAGGTCCTCTAACAATTAAGCCAAACACAAGTCCCAATCTGTTATGATGGGAATAGAGGAGAACTTTTAAAAAAGGTCATGAGGGGCATTTTTTTTTCATGGTTTGTGTGAGGAGTGAACTTCCAGAGGAAGTGGTGGATGTGGCTACAGTTACAACAGCTAAAAATCATTTAGATAAGTACATGTATTGGAAATGTTTAGAGGATAAGCGCAGGCAGGTCGGACTATAAATGTTTAGGTTTATGTTGGACATGGACTGGTTGGACCAAAGGCAGTGTTTCTGTGCTAAATGACACTATGACTCTGCAAGCTTGGTTTATTTCAAAAGCAGCTAAATCTCTAGTTCCAAAGCATTGCCGGAATGCAGCATAGAAATACACCACTTCACTCAATCAGTCCTTACTGGTATTTATGCTCCACACAAGCCTCCTCCCATCTTTTCTGCTCTTTTCTCCCACTTCTCTTTAGATGCGTTTATCCTATTCATCTCAAAACACTCTGTGATAGTGAGTCCAATTGCTTTGAATAAAGTAGTCATTTGAAGTTGAGTAAAAAAAAAAGTTTTGTCGAAGCCTTTTGTTTTGCACTCAACAGACTATTTTGCAAGAGCACCAATTCAAGGTGAAAATAGGGCCTGAGCCATATGTTCACCCTGTAAACTTGATGCTGAAATTGAGCTCAGCAAATCCATCCTATGTGATAATCGATACGCTGGTCTGGTCATTTCTGGTTGCAAAGTGCACAGACTCATGAAAAGCCCTAAGGCAGTCACTGAAATGTTCACACTCTACCTCATCGTCCGAATGGCTGCGGTATCTCTCATATTTGAGCAACATGTGAGACTAGCTGTTTCTATGCAGTGGCCACGTGTGTGGTATTCCCCACTATAAGGCTGCTGCTGCGAAGCCAGAAGACATTCCCCCTACAGCAAATGAGTTACGTGGTATGAGTTTCTGCACCGGCGTAGTGCCAAGCATGTAGGCCGCATGTCCAAACTCATATCATACATATCCATTTAGTTGTTCACAACAAGCAAGATGTTGACTGTATCCTACCCGGTCTTGAAATCCCCCACCCTAGGGAAAAAAAGACCTGCCATTCACTTTATCTACACTCTCATGGTTTTATAAACCTCTAAAAGGTCACCTCTCAACCTCATACACTCCAGCAAAACAAGTCCGAGCCTACCCAGCCTCTCCTTACAACTCAAACCCTCCATTTCTGGCAATGTCCTGGTAAATCTCTTCTGAACCCTCTCTGGCTTAATACTATTCTTCCTGTAATAGGGTGACCACAACTGTGCACAGTTGTCCAGAAGAGGCTGCACCAAAGGCCTCTCCAACCTCAAATGATGTCTTAACTCCTACACTCAAAGGTCTGATCAATGAAGGTAAGCATGCTAAACGCCTTCTTAGCTACTTATATCCAAAATGTTTTCCAGAACCAGAACAGTATAAAATATTCTGCTAGAACAAACTTAAATCCAATCTGTGCATTATTTCAAGCCTACAGAATGTTCAGAGGGGAGGAACACATCATTGACAGAGACAGTGCTCGATACTCACTGTATGAAGAAATGTCAATCTCGTCAGGCAGCTCGCTGATGTTCACTTCAAACCTGTCCTGCACGTCATTGAGGATCTTGGCGTCATTCTCATCCGACACGAACGTGATAGCCAGTCCCTTGGTACCGAAACGGCCAGCTCTGGCCACCTGTAATGCAGAGACTGAGATGTTAGGATTGCAAAGGAATAGCTGATGTGAAGGTTGACTTGGTAAAATATTGGATCACACGGAAAGCATAGGGATCAATGGGTTATTGATCCCTAACCAGTTACCTTCCTCCTCCCACCTCAGAGCTGGAGGCCTGTAATTATGCTTCAAGATTTGCTCACTCCTCCACCATCAGGGCCTCTTCCTGTGGTCTCCATTCCTGCACAGCTCATTGCTCCACTTATTATTGCATTGGTTCACAGGGAGAAATTGAAACCAACTGAAAATGTGCTTGGGCATATTCTCACATCATCAAGCACTGAGGGCTCCCAGTTTATACCCACGGTACATTTACATGGCACAGTGGCTAATGAGAGGGACTGTGCTGCCTAGAGTCCCATAAGCAGACATTAGATTTAATTTCACATCAGCAGTTTCCCTCAGGTTGGTGACATTCTGGCAAGCTGGGTTCACTGATGCCTAATTTGGAATAAATGCCAGGTTTTGCATTTTGGAAAAACAAACGAGGGCAGGAGTTACACAATTAATGGTACGACCCTGGGTAGTGTTGTTGAACACTAGGGGTTCACGTACATAGCTCTTTGAAAGTTGCATCACAGGTAGATAGCATAGTTAAGGCAGTATTTAGCACACTTGCCTTCAATGCTCAGACCTGTGACTATAGGATTTGGGACATCATGTTGAGGTTACACAGGAGGTTGTGAGACCTCTTCTGGAGTAGTGTGTGCAGTTCTAGTGGTCCTATTATAGGAAGAGTATTTTAAACTGGAGGGAAAAAGATTTACCAGGATGTTGCCAGGAATGGAGGGTTTCAGTTATAAGGAGAGGCTAGATAGGCTGGGACTTTCTCCCCTAGAGTGTAGGAGGTTGAGGGGCGATCTTATAGAGGTTTATAAAATCATGAGGGGCATAGATAAGGTGAATAGCAAGGGACCTTTCCCTAGGATGAGGGAGTTTGAAACTAGCAGGCATATTTTTAAGGTGGGAGGAGAAAGCTTTGAAAAGAATATGAGGGGCAACATTTTCAGACAGAAAGTAATTAGTGTGTAGAATGACTGCCACAGGAAATGGTGGATGCGGGTAGAGTTACAACATTTAAAAGACATTTGGATAAGTTCATGCATAGGAAAGGTTTGGAGGGATATGGGCCAAATGCATGCAGGTGGGACTAGTTTGAGAACATTGTTTGTGTGGACAAGTGGCACTGAAGGGTCTGCTTCCATGCTGTATGACTCTATGGCCATTTACACAGTTAGGAGTGAGTGCACATTCTCATGAATGCACAGATTGTTGAGTTATTCTGCCAGGCAGTTCACTGTTACTTTGTCAGAGCTACTCTTTATCAATGAGGGCACTGCCGGAGTTCAGCCAGACAGCATCTCCAATGGGCATTTACCAGCAACAAGAAACTTGCCACATAGAGTTACAGAGCTGTATAGCATGGAAATAGACCCTTCGGTCCAACTTGCCCATGCTGACCAGATATCCTAAATTAATCTCGTCTCATTTGGCCAATATCCCTCTAAATTAATAAAATCATCCAGATGCCCCTTAAATGTTGTAATTGTACCAGCCTCCATCACTTCATCTGGCAGCTCATTCCATACACACATCATCCTCTGTGTGAAAGGTTGCCCATTGGGTCCCTTTTAAATCGTTCGTCACTCACCTTAAACCTATGCCCTCTAGTTTTGGACTCTCCCACCCCAGGGAAAAGACCTAGGCTATTCACCCTATCCATGCCCCTCATGATTTTACAAGCCTCTATAAGGTCACCCCTCAGCCTCCAAGGCTCCAGGGAAAATAGCCCCAGTTTCTTCAGAGACAGTAGGAACTGCAGATGCTGGAGAATCTGAGATAACAAGTTGTAGAGCTGGATGAACACAGCAGGCCAAGCAGCATCAGAGGAGCAGGAAGGCTGACGTTTCGGCCCGAAACGTCAGCCTTCCTGCTCGGCCTGCTGTGTTCATCCAGCTCTACACGTTGTTATCCCAGTTTCTTCAGCCTCTCTCTAAAACTCAAACGCCCCAACCTGGCAACATCCTTGTAAATCTTTTCTGAACCCTTTCAAGTTTCACAACATCCTTCCTACAGCTGGGAGATCAGAATTGAATGGTGTATTCCAAAAGTGGCCTAACCAATGTCCTGTACAGCCGCAACATGACCTTCCACTCCTATACTCAATGCACTGACCAATAAAGGCAGGCATACCAAATGCCGTCTTCACTGTCCTGTCTATCTGCAACTCCACTTTCAAGGACCAATGAACCTGCACTCAAGGGTCTCGGTGTTCAGCAACACTCCCCAGGTCCTTACCATTAAGTCCTGCCACGATGTTCCTTTTCAAAACGCAGCACCTCACATTTATCTAATTTATCCATCTGCCACTCCTCGCCCCATTGGCCCATCTGATCAAGGACCCGTTGTATCCTGAGGTAACCTCCTTCGCTGTCCACTACACCTCCTGTTTCGGTGTCATCTGCAAACTTACTGACCATACCTCTTATGTTTGCATCCAAATCATTTATATAAACGACGAGAAGCAGTGGAACCAGCACCGATCTGTGCGGTACACTGCTGGTCACAGGCCTCCAGTCTGGAAAGCAACCCTTCACCGCCATCCTCCGTCTTCTTTCTTTGATCCAGTTCTGTATCCAAATGGCAAGTATTTCATGTGATCTAACCTTGCTAACCAGTCTACCACGAGGAACCTTGTCAAACACTTTACTGAAGCCTATGCAGATCACATCCACTGCTCTGCCCTCATCAATCCTCTGTTACTTCTTCAAAAACTCAATCACGGTAGTGAGACACAATCTTGCACACGCAAAGCCACGTTGACTATCCCTAATCAATCCTTGCCTTTACATATACATGTAAATCCTGTCCCTCAGGATTTCCTCCAACAATTTGCTCACCGCTGATGCCAGGTTCACTAGTCTATAGTTCCCTGGCTTTTCTTTACCACATTTCTTAAATAGTGGCACCACGCTAGCCAACCTCCAACCTTCTGGCACCTCACCTGTGGCTATTGATGATACAAATATCTCAACAAGGGGCCCAGCAATCACTTCCCTAGCTTCCCACAGGATTCCAGAGTACACCTGATCAGGTCCTGGGCAATTTTCACCTATATGCATTTTAAGCCATCTAACACCACCTCCTCTGTGATGTCGACATTTGTCAAGGTGTCGCTATTTATTTCCCCACGTTCTCTATCTTCCATATCCTTCTCCACAGTAAACACTAATGCAAAATACTCATTTAGTATCTCCTCCATCTTCTGCAGTTCCACACATAGGCGACCTTGCTGATCTTTAAGGGGACCTATTCTCTCCCTTGTTACTCTTTTGTCCTTTATATGTTTGTAGAATTCCTTTGGATTCCCCTTAAGCCAACTTGCCAAAGCTATCATGTCCCCTTTTTGCTCTCGTGATTTCCTTCTTAAGTTTATTCCTAATACCTTTATACTCTTCTAGGGATTCACTCAATCTCTGCTGTCTATACCTGCCATATGCTTCCTTCTTATTCTTGAGCAAAACCTCAATTTCTCTACTCATCTGGCATTCCCTACTCATACCAGCCTTGCCCTTCACCCTAACAGGAGCATACTGTCTCTGAACTCTCGTTATCTCATTTTTGAAGGCTTCCGATTTTCCAGCCATTCCTTTACCTATGAACATCCGCCCCCAATCTACTTTTGAAAGTTCTTGCCTAACACGATCAAAACTGGCCTTCCTCCAATTTAAAACTTCAACTTTTAGATCTGGTCTGTCCTTTTCCATCACTATTTTAAAACTAATCGAATTATAGTCACTGACCCCAAAGTGCTCCCCCACTGATATCTCAGTCACCTGCCCTGCCTTATTTCCCAAGAGTAGGTGCAAAACTTGACCTTCTCTAGTAGGTACATCCACATACTGAATCAGAAAATTTTCTTGTACACACCTAAATTCCTCTCCATCCAAGCCCTTAAAACTATGGCAGTCCCAGTCTATGTTTGGAAAGCTAAAATCCCCTACCATAACCACCCTATTATTCTTACTGATAACTGAGATCTCCTTACAAACGTGTTTCTCAACTTCCTGCTGACTACTGGGGATTGGGGGGGCGGTGGGATGGATGGGGGCAGTGTCTATAGTACAATCCCAATGAGGTGATCATCCCTTTATTTCAGTTCCACCCAAATAACTTCCCTGGACGTATTTCCAGGAATATCTTCCCTAAGTACAGCCATAATGTTATCCCTAATTACAAACTCCTCTCTTGCACCCCATCCCATCCTATCCTTCCTATCATATCTATATCCTGGAACATTACGCTGCCAGTCCTATCCATTCCGGAGCCACGTCACTGGAATCGCTGATTTCCCATGCTCCCAACCATGTCCTGAGTCCATCTGCCTTACCTGTTAGGCTCTTGCATTGAAATAAATGCAGGTTAATTCATCAGTCCTATCTCGTTCTCCGCTTTGTTCCTGCCTGCTCTGACTGTTGAGTTAGGGCTACACTTACCATATGGGTCACTGTTTTATACAGGACAAAATATCTCAGTCCCCAGTGTCAGTAACTACCCTTCCTGCTCCAATCAGTTTAGTCCAGCTGCCAAGTCCCCAAGGAAATTGTCCAGCTCACGTACTAAGCCTTTCATGGCTGAGGTCCTTCCTATCGACCATTTTCAGACATATCACCTTGGAGTCGACTTTACACCATAAACCTCAAAAGAACACAGCACACTCTCACCAGTGAAGGTTTTACATACCATGTAATTAACAGCAACCTTTGTCCTTTTGGAGTGATACTGACAAACAGCATTGGACCTGGGTTATGTTTGGCACCATTGCAAACTGAACTGAGACTGCTCAATGTTCATTCGACGCGGGATCTCCTCTTCAGTCTTATCTTTATTCTTTCACAGGTTGTGGGCAGCACTGGCAAGGCCACCGGCTGTTGCCCATCCCTATTTCCTCTGAACTGAACACCTTGCAAGGCTATTTCAGAGGGGAAGGCATGTGTCACATATAGATTAGGTAAGAACAGTGAACCAGACAGCCTTCCTTTAGAGTCATCGAGTTGTACAGCTTGGAAACAGACCCTTCAGCCCAACTCATCCATGCCGACCAGGTATCCTAAATTAATCTAGAACCATTTGCCAGCATTTGGCCCATATCCCTCTAAACCTTTCCTATTCATGTACCCAACTAGATGCCTTTTAAATGTTGTAATTGTACCAGCATGCACCACTTCCTCAGGCAGCTCATTCCATACACGCACCCCCTCTGCGTGAAAAGTTTTCCTCTAAGGTCCCTTTTAAATCTTTTTCCTTTTACCTTAAACCCATGCCCTCTAGTTTCCCCTCCCTCGGGGAAAAGGCCTTGGCTATTCACCCTATCCATGGCCCTCATGATTTTATAAACCTCAGTGTCCAACGCTCCATTATTTGTTGATTTTCACATTCAATGCAGATCTTAAAATTTAAATCCCACAAACCCACAGCCTCAAGTCCTCTGGATTGCTTTGCCAGTGACAATACCACGACACCACAACCTCTATTTACTTATAGACAGGACAGACAACTTCTGAACCCATCAGTCTGGAGGTGGATTTGAATCCCAAGTCTGGGCAGTAAAAATTGATGTCTGCACGAAAAGCAGCTGGCATCAGTACGACGGCTGCTTGCTTTATATTATCCCATTAAGATAGCAAATTTACTGAGGCCTTTCATGAGCTATAACTTGGCATTAGTCCAAGGAAGGGCAGTCAAAACCCTGGTCAAAGAGGAACATCTTGAGAGAGAGAGCAAAAGAGAGAGAGAGAGAGAGGGAGGGGGTGGTGTAGAGAGAAAGAAGGGTGCAGGAAAGAAATACCAGAGCTTAGGACCCAGCCAAAAATGGTGCAGCAACTGAAAATCAGAGGTGCTCAGGAGTCTAAAATAGATCATAAATCTCTGGGCTGGAGTACCTGAAACTGAAAGATGTTAAGTCACCAAACTGTTATCGCGTTGAGCATTCAGTTCACCAGAGTCAATAAAGAGAACATGTTTGCTTCGGTAACGCATCAAAGGGCACTATACCCTGTGTAAGTAGGTGTCAGAATCCTCTGGCATATCATAGTTAAATACAATGTTGACCCGCTCAATGTCCATCCCACGGCCAAATAAATTGGTGGCGACCAGTATCCGCCGCTGGAAATCCTTGAACTGCTGGTATCGAGATAATCTGTAGGAAAGAAGAATATTCAACAAATTCACTGCAATCTTTTAATTGAGTCCTCAGTGCGTGCGTGTGCGTGGGATGTTTGGTGACAGAAAAAGAGAAAGCACTCAGGTCCTGGGGCAGTGAAAAAAGCCGAACGCACAATGATCCTGAAATTAGTTGTTAAGTAAGTAAGGAACGTTATAATTTGCTTCAGTGTCTTTGTTAGGGCAAGGCAACAAAACTCAACCAAGGGCTCTCCTACCTGCGATCGTTAGATGCTCATCATGGGAGTCGATGAGAAGTTCTCAATAGTTAGATAACCCGTTGATGCTCAGCACTTACACCTGCGTGGGTAAAGTAAGGCGAGGGAACAAACCCAGGGAGGAGCATTTCATCAAGTTTAGCAAAACTTGTCAGAGGAGCGGGACATAGGAGAAAACTGGAGGAGGATGGTAGCACATGAATGCTCATTAAAACGTGAATTATGATCATGTGTGTGAATCACGTGTGTGCGCGCGCATGGGGTGGGGCAGTGGATGGGCTGGGGGCAGGCACAGGTTCATGCGTGCGTGTGTGTGTGTGTTTGGGGGTGGGGGGGACCTGTGTGGATGGATGTGGGTGTGCGTGATCTGTGGACATGGATTTGCATACGCCTGGGGGCGTGTGTGAGAGACAGCCAGAGAGAGAGAGCGAGAGTGTGTGAGAGAGAGAGAGAGAGAGAGACAGACAGAGAGAGAGAAAGAACCAGATAGACAAACAGAGAGAGAAAGAGATAGACAGAGAAAGACAGAGATATGGGGCCAATGGTGGTGAAACCTTCCATGAGGATACTATGTTCTGGAAGACCCCGCCTCCCCACAAAGGTCCTGAGATCACAAGGCCTTTCTCTCATCCTTGCCACAGCTCTGGATGCTTCAGTACAGAAACTAGGTTGTTTATCTAGAACTGGAAAAGGATAAGACCACATCCCATACAGCTACTGAAAATAATGAAAGATTTCTGAGAAAAACCATGTGGGGAGATCACTTCCACAGGCAGGATGGGCTGTAACCTGTGCTCAATGATTGATGCAAAGGGGTAGAAGAAACAGAGGGCTAGCAGGATTGAGAAATATTTAGTGAGTTCTAATAGGGAAATGCACTACCCAAAAGGGTGGTGGAAGCAGATTCGACAGTAACTTGCAAAAGCAAACTGGCAACTGACTTAAAGAAGGAAAAATTGTACAAGGTAAGGGGGAAAGAGCGAGGGTTTGGGCCAAGAATTTGGGCTCTTTCAAAGAGTCAGCACAGATTTCCTCAAGTGGGTCAAAGAGTTAAACCTTCAGTTCCCTTCTGGACTGAGCACTTGGGTAAGACCACTCATCTGAGCATCTAAAAGACAGAGTGTTGTACTAACCTCTCCTCCTGAGGCATGCCCCGGTGAATGGCTATGGCAGGGAAGTTCTGCTCAACTAGGAGCTGTGCCAAGGCGATGCACCTCTGCACTGACTTCACAAAAATAACCACCTGCAGAAACAGAATTTGGTGCTTTAAGTTGGCAAAACCTACAATCTCACCTGGTCACAAAAGAAAAATGTGTGATTCCATTTCAGTTCTCATGCTTTTTCTTTAAAAAAAAACAAACTGCAATTTATTGTTGCTTTCCACAAAGATGTGACAAAGAACATAGCGGGCTCTCACTACTTTGTACATGATAAAGGTAAGTACCAACAGGAGCTCATTGCTAAAGTGCTCAGTGACAGCCTAAGTTTGCATAATCACTATCTATAATTGTGCTGCTTTGGCTCAAGTCTGAAGTACAAGTGAATAGTGACTGAGAATCTCCAGTGCTCCCCCGATATCTCAACAAAAACTTGCATTTACATAGCACCTTTATGCAACAAAGTATCCTAGGCAGCGAGTGCCTAGCAGCATTTAACATTAAAGCTATCATGATATCAGGGCAGATGACTGATGTGGAGTCTCAGTGTTAAAAGGGGGGAGGAGAGGTAAAGGGGTTTTGGGGAGGGAATTACATGACTTGGGGGCCGAAGCAACTGAAAGCATGGCTGCCAATTATAAAGTGATAAAAATTACGGAAATGCCAGAGGCCAGAAGCGGATAATGCAGCAATCTCAGTGGGACTCTGTCTCCATCCAGGGGAAACATGGAACATTATTTTGATACCTGTCTCCATGCCCTCTTAATGACGGAGTACTATCATCATAGTTCAAAAACATCTGTTCCTATATGCCCAAAGGCAGCTCACAGCTATTAGTACCAGAATTTAGCAAAATCCAGTCAAAATTGAATACTTAAAAGGCAAGATGACTCATATGGTTCAACTTTTGTTTTTATAACTTTAGTTTTCCATTCCTTCAGATAATATTTCTTCTATTTTAATTAATATTTCACTCTACTAATTTGCTGTACTCCTCTCCCTTGGCTGGGCCGCGGTTTCACAACCATTGGCAGTTCTGTGCCACCTCAGCAGGAGTGGACATTCTACACGTGTGAACCTGGACAAGGAGCGCATCGCCAGACATACATATGCGCCAGACGTACATATGCTTTAATTTCTTCTACAGGTCACAGGATTAGTTTTGCTGCAGCAAAACTTTGCCAATTTGCCTGATGATAATTCCAGGACGCCAGTTAAGACCAGGTATCCAATTTGATAGCTCCATGGTTGACATGACTGAGCACCAAACCAAAGAGCCTGGTTACCAAACTATCACTAGGCTGATACCATTTGTCAGCATTTTCAACAAACGCAAATTTTCAAAATGTTCTTTCAGTAAAGACAAGCGTAATTTTAAATCTACCACCAGTGCCAGTGCCACTGAGTCAGAAGGTAGTGGATTCAAGTCCCACCCTAGCAACTCAAGCACAAAAATCTAGACTGTGATCCAGTGCAGGACTGACAGAGTGATGAACAGTTGGAAATGCATCAACTTTTAGATGAATGATAAGCTGAATCTCTGCCCACCCAATCAAGTGGATATAAAAGACAGAATCCTGTGAGTTTACCATGTTGGCCTGGCCAATTTTATCCCTCAGCAAACACTGCTTAAAATTATTCTGATTGTTATCATATTACACCTCGTGGGAGTTTGCTGTGTGCAAATTGACTGGGACAACGCAACAGCAACCACACTTCAAAGTCAATTCCTTGCTGTAAAACATTTTGGGACATCTTTTGGTTGCAAAGGTGCAATATAAATGCAAGTCTTTCTTCCTAACCCTCTCACCAGGAAAGTGACAGAAGCAAGGTGTAATGCTGGCTTGATTTGTTGCTGTGACTTCACCTCACATTCACAGAAGATGAGTAATATCAATAGGTGTGAGAGGCATGGAAATTCCACTCACTGGGATTTTTTTTAAACCAAACCTAACACCAGCCCTCCCCTGAAATGCAAAATGTTTTAAGTCAATTAGTTTATCAATCCACTAACCAACTTAATTAGAAAAGCCAAAATAAAGACAACACAGAGTGCTAGACGTAAACAGCAGTGCCTTCGTAAAGGAGGCACACGCAAGAAGTCATAACCCATCTTTTTACTACATTTAGATGTTGCCGCTAACCTACACAAGTCACAGCAGCGCTACTGTCCCCGCACTGGGTTTTACACGGAGGTGTCGATACCTGGTTGAACTCCAGAACATCCAGCAGGTCGAAAAGCTTGCGGTTCTTCTCGTTGTCTTTCAGCTTCACGTAGTACTGCTGCAGCCCGTGCAGGGTCAGCTTGGTTTCGTCGTCCACAAAGATCTCCATCGGCTGCGAAGCAAATTACCCCGTTGTTAAAACCACGCCCCCCTCTCGGCAGGCCCCAAAGCTTTGCCGCTCCGAGACATTGCATCCCACCCCCCATCCATTTCCCAACCTGGCTCAGCCTGACCGCGTAAGATAGTTCCAAACCTCCCACACCCTCCACTGTCCCTAAAGCAGAAGCTAGCTCAGAAGGAGTCTTGTACTGATGTCAAATGGAAAGGAGCCAAGGGGAAGGTCACTGACCCTTTTAGAAATGAATGTCTGCACTTTAAAATTCAAGAGCAAGGTCACACCATTTGAAAATCCTCTCCCACACTTCAGCTAAGTTTCCTACAAAGCAACAAAACAAAAACTACACTGCTTCTTGTGCTCCACAATAGATTAACAGATGTTTAAAACAAGGGTTTAAAATGTGTTCGAAGGAGCTGTCAAAGTATACATGTGATTCCCTCCAGTGGAGAAGTTAAAAGAATATAAATTCCTTCTGTTCCTCATTTCTCTGTATCTTAACAGCACTTAGAAACTAACGACTGTGGGTCACAGAATAAAGAGGCCAAATTGGAATTGGTAGTTAAGGGCAACATTAGGATAGTTAAGTAGTAACGAGACCAAGGTAGATGACGAAGTTAAGATACAGATCAGCAGTGATCAAATTTAATGGAGATACGAGAGGGATGAATGACCTCCTGATCTCCAAATATCCTGGAATGACCCAGCCTGCACACAGCCAAAGTGGACATTGTTGGCATTTTAAATGGATATATAATCTTCTCTTTGTCGAGTGTGTGGCTGGATCATGCAGAGTAAGGATCTCTGCTCCTGGCAAGTGCCAAGTTGACTGGTTTCAGGATTGGCAGATTGCAGGAGGGATTTGTTACAATTGACTCCCAAGAGTTAAAATACGAAGCCTGCTCCACCATCCAATGAGAATATGATTTATCTTTTACTTCAACTTGCTGCCCAGTCACCATAACCTTCAATTCCCTTACTGCCCAAAACTCTACTGTTCTGTCTTAAATATACTCAGTGCCGGGAACATTCACTATAGGGAATGTCAAAAATTCACAACCCCCCGAGAGAGAAACATCCCTTCACAGCATGAAATGGTTGATCACTTAATCTGAGATTATTCGGTCTCCGCTCCCACTAATTTATCCAATCGGGAAAACAGCCTCTTAAACCCGGTGAGAATTTTACACATTTCATGAAATCACCTCTCATTCTTCTAGAGTGAATATTGAGCTATTTCAGTCAACTCTCTTCACAAGAGAATCCCCTTATGCCAGAAACCTACAGTCTGGAGAAGCTCTGTTGCATCACCCTGAAAAGGCCGAGTACTTCTGAGTACTCCCAGTGGATGTGGTGTACCTAGATTTCCAAAAGGCCTTCGACAAGGTGCCGCACAAGAGGCTACTGCATAAGATAAGGATGCATGGCGTTAATGGTAAAGTATTAGCATGGATAGAGGATTGGTTGACTAACAGGAAGCAAAAAGTGGGGATAAATGAGTGCTATTCTAGTTGGCAGTCAGTGACTAGTGGATTGCCTCAGGGATCAGTGTTGGGACCACAATTATTTACAATTTATATAGACGATCTGGAGTTGGGGACCACGTGCAGGGTGTCAAAGTTTGCAGATGACACTAAGATGAGTGGCAGAGCAAAGTGTGCAGAGGACTGTGAAACTTTGCAGAGGAACATAGATACATTGAGTGAGTGGGCAAAGGTCTGGCAGATGGAATACAATGTAAATAAATGTGAAGTCATACATTTTGGTAGGAGTAATAGTAAAAAGGATTATTACTTGAATGGTAAAAAGATGCAGCATGCTGCTATGCAGAGGGACCTGGGTGTCCTTGTGCATTAATCACAGAAGGTAGGTCTGCAGGTACAACAAGTAATTAGGAAGGCAAATGGAATTTTGTCCTTCATTGCTAAAGGGATTGAGATTAAAAGCAGAGAGGTTATGTTGCAGCTATACAAGGTGCTGGTGAGGCCACACCTGGAGTACTGTGTGCAGTTTTGGTCTCCTTACTTGAGAAAGGATGTACTGGCACTGGAGGGGGTGCAAAGGAGGTTCACTAGGTTGATTCCAGAGTTGAGGGGGTTGGCTTATGAGGAGAGACTGAGTTGATTGGGATTATAATCATTGGAATTCAGAAGATTGAGGGGGGATCTTATAGAAACATATAAAATTATGAAGGGAATAGATAAGATAGAAGTAGAGAGGATGTTTCCACTGGCAGGTGAAGCTAGGACAAGAGGGCATAGCCTCAAGATTAGAGGGAGCAGATTTAGGACTGAATTGAGAAGGAACTTCTTCACCCAGAGGGTTATTAATCTATGGAATTCTTTGCCCAGTGAAGTAGTTGATGCTACTTCAGTAAACGTTTTTAAAGATAAGGTAGATATTTTTTTGAACAATAAAGGAATTAAGGGATACGGTGAGAACGCGGGTAAGTGGATCTGAGTCCACGAAAAGATCAGCCATGCTCTTATTGGATGGCGGAGCAGGCTCAAAGGGCCGGACGGCCTACTCCTGCTCCTAGTTCTTATGTTCCTGGGGAGGCAGAATCAAAACTGTAAACAGTACTCCAACCTCACCAAAACCCTGTATAATTGCAGCACTTCCTGACTCCTGTACTCCAACATCTAATAAAGGCAATAAAGTATTAATTGCCTTGTTGAACCTAGATGTGAACATTCTGTGATTTATGAAACTTATTTGCCAAAGAACACTTATGAGTCTCTCAAAATTATTACGACTTTTACAGCTGGCAATCTCAATCCACTGAGGGCACCCTTTGTTCCGGAACTCAATGAACCTAAGGAGGTCAAGTAAAATCGTGACCATATATATGGTGAGGTCATACATCGTGCTCCATGCTCACCTGCATTTACACATTACATTTGGTCACATGAGCGAAGTACCAACCTCTGGGGTACAATAACTCATCCAACCCTCAACATCGGAAGCAAGGACAACAAAAGAAAATGCCAAACAGTTCTCCTGCAATCAGCAGTCGATGACAGGTCACACTCTGGTGCCAAGGGCACAGGCTGTATATATCAGTTCCCCCTCTTCACCAGCATGAGAGGGGGAAAGGGAGAAAATACAGCAGGTTTAGAGAAATAACCAATTATTGTTGGTGATTTAACTTAAAAGAAAAACAAAAGCCAGGGGATTCTACCAAGCCATTATAACTTACTGGTCAGGGCTCAGTTGAAATAATTTTTCCATCGCTGGACACCATTCTTTGCCAAGTGGTGTGGGCAGGCGTATCCACACATTTTTGAATTTGAAAATATCTTTCAAAAAAACAAATCAGACAGGATCCTTGATTTTATGAAGGGAGTCAGAGTACAAAAGTAAGGAAGTTCTACTGAAATTTTATGGAATCCGATTTGACGTCATCTGGAGCAGCATGGTCAAGTCTCGACTCTACACTTCAAGGAGGACATTGAGACTTTGCAAAAAGGGCGTGGAACATACTTACCAGAATGGAACCAGGGTGAGGTGAGGGGGACATTGACTGGGGAAACAGGGGCTGTTCTTTCCAGAGGAGAGAGCATTAACGGGAAATATAATCAAAAGGAGGTGAGAAGGTAAGTGGTGAGGATGACACAAAGTGTCTGCAGACAGATATAAACAGATTAGGTGAGTGAATAGAAACTTGGCAGAAGGAATATAATGTGGGAAAGTATGAGGTTATGCACTTTGGCAGGAAGATTAGAGGAGCTGCTAATTATTTAAATATGGAAAGACTGCAGCACAGAGGGATTTGGGAGTTCTTGTGCGTAAGTCTCAACATAGGGAAGGAAAATGGAATGTTGGCCTTTATTTCAAATGGAAGGGAATATGAAATAATATGTAACAGTCTTGGTCCCCTTATCCAAGGAAAGATATACTGGCAAAGGAGGCTGTCCAGAGAAAGTTCACTGGGTTGATCCCAGATATGGAGGGATTGTTTTAGGAGAAGAGGTTGAGTAGGTTGGACCTGTATTGATTAGAGTTGAAGAATGAGAGGTGACCTTATTGAAACATACAAGATTCTTAGGGGACTCTACAGAGCAGATGTGGATAAGTCGTTTCCCCATTGGGAAGAGTCTAGGAGGGGAAAATCTCAGAGTGTGGTGTTGCCCATTTAAGTCAGAGACGAGGATGAATTTCTTCTTGGACACAGTCGTGAATCATTGGAATTCTTTATGGCAGAGGGCAGTCAAGGCTGGGTCGTTAAGTATATTCTAGGCCGAGATAGATTTTTAATTTGTAAGGAAATCAAGCGTTATGGAGAAGTCACAGGCAGTTGGAGTTGAGGATTATCAGGTCTGCCATGATCTCATTGATTTGATGGGCCAAATAGCCTACTTCTGCTCTTGCATCTTATGTGCTCAATATAGATGCTTAAAAATCATGTGACGATCAGCCGTGATTGTTTTTATGTAAGAGTTTTCTAGCCAATGAGCCAAATGGTCTCCTTTCATACTGAAAAGTCTTTCTACAGGTCCAGGAGGGGTCGATGGAGGCGGGGGGGGGATTGCGGGGAGCAAGGAGGTACTATTAGTAGTTTAGAGACTACTTCATGACAATCTCCAAAAGTCTTCATTATTAAATATAAGCTAATGATGTGGGAGTTTTATGAGCATGTAAGGTTGTTTTGCTGCAGTGGTAAGAGGTGACACCAGTGCATTCTTTATGCATCATGATGCAGCTCTTTAAGTGCTATGCTCTGTAAATTCCAGCAGGGATATTGCCACCATAATAGCCAAATAATGACCAAGGTCAAACAAATGCACATAAAGGGACATTAGATAAGAAGTACTGGGAGGACCGGAAAACATGGATTTAAGGTCCTGGGCAAAAGAACCAGAGGTAAAACAAAGAAATTTGTTTTTGCAGTAAGTTATGATCTGGAATGTAACGCCTGAGGGGGCAGTGGAAGCAGATTCAATAATAACTTTTCAAAATAAAGCTGGAGATATCTACTTAGAAAAGACACAACAAAA